CCGGGACGACACGCTCGTCAAAATCCGGGACCTCGGGTTTGTTATCTTCGACCATCGTCCCCGGTACCAAGGCCGACATCTACACCTGAAAAGCAGAGGACAACGGTGAATTCGATAGCCAAGATCAAATCCACCCTTCCACCGCAGGTCAAGTGAAAGGGCGACAAAGGCCGGAGAACGGCGAGCAAATAGGCGCTCCCCGCCGATCCTCCACGGGGCGTCTAAGGGCCAACCCACCATCCCTCCTCGGGATGTTCATCGTAAAAAGCGCGCGTCCCCGGGGAATTCATCGAAGAAAGCCCCCGTCCTCGGGACATTCATCGGAACAACAAACTCTCCCCGGGGTATTCATCAGAAAACCGCCAGATACGGCGGATCTTGCGTCTCTCCTTGGGGCAGTCATCATGCCCCGACCACACATTCTAATCAAACGGCGGAAATAAAAGGAGCAGGGAAAGAAAAACTCACTTGTAACGGCGGCGAACGGGAGGAAGAACCGAACGGTGCGGCGGCGATCGACGGCAACGGCGGACGAGCAAGAATCTCAGAGCTTCGCAGGTAAGGAAGCAAAACGAAAAGTAGAAAAATGAGCGGGGACCCCCATATTTATAACCCGTTGCGGGATTCGAAGCGACGCTAGGCTCATTAATGGCCTAGGGTAGCCGCCCCTACGACCACTTAACACGCGACACGTGGCGGCAACCTGACAGTCGCGTCCCCTCACCTGCTTTCACCCCGCTCCGCCGGCGATGGGAGACCCCCGCGCAAGCGCCCGTTCCACCGTGCATAAACCCGACGAACCTCCCGTTTCGCTACCTCTCTCCCCGGCACAGCGACCTTAAGTCCTCGCTCTTTCCCCCAGAGCTTCAACTTGGGGGGCTCCTGTTCTGGTCTGGGCCCAACCTCGGTCCAGCCCAATACCACACATGGCCCAATAAGTGAACTAGCCCGACCGGGCACACGCGCCCCATACGACGGGCAGGGCACACTCCCCCGGGGATGGACGACGCGTCCGAAGGCGTCTCGACATCCTCTCTTGTCGGCCGAACAGGGCACACCCCGGTCCATCGAGCAAGACCACATGGCTCTCCCGCGTCCTTGCGTGCTTCCCTCCGCAGGGAGAACAACGCCCTCCGGGGAGCCTCGCGAGCTCCCCTCCGCGGGGAGGACTGCGTGCCCGGTGCACGTTCTCCACGTGCTCCCCTCCGCGGGGACACGCCATCAACCAACTGCCCACCTCCGAAAGAGCAGGTCAAACCCACTTTCCGGAGATCAAGGGGCAGTTGGACTAGGGCGAGGACCACGTCCTGGTCTTCACTACGCCACGTAAGCCCTAGCAATCATTAGGGTTGGGCCTGGTCATCCAGCCCACCTCAGATGACCGTTGGCCCAGCACTGGGGTCTCTCTATAAATACCCTCTTCCTCAAGAGGGTCAGGTAGCACACTTCTTACCCCTCTTTCTGTACTTCGCCATCGCTCTGCCCAACTTTTCACTTTGGCATCAGAGTGTTTTGCAGGTACACCCCCCTTCTCTTCCTCATCACCGGTGAGCAAACAGCAGTCCAACAGAGTGTGGACAGCCCGTGATCCCCTTCTGATCAGGTCAGATCAGTTGGGTTTGTATTTCTAGAGAGCGAAAAAAAAGGAGAATGTTACTTTATTCTTAGAGGTTTGCCGGAGAATGTTGAAGGACCAAGATGAGATGCCGAAAGTAATTGTTACAAACCACAATACCACCTTGATGAATTCGGTTGCAAAGACATTTCCTATTTCTTATGGTTTACTTTTTAGGTATCACATAACAAATAATGTGAGAAGTCGGGTTAAACATGCGGTAAGGACGAAACAGATAAACACCGAAGATGGATAAATGGTGAAGGCGGGTGTGATAGTGAAAAAATAATAGATGTATGAAATGTTATAGTAAATTCTTCTACTAAAGAGTTATATGTCGATTATGTTGTACATTTAAGGAAATTGTGAGAGAAATATCCAGATATGTTAAAATATGTTGAACGCACAACTCTAGACCAAGTAAAGGAGAAAACTGTTTGTGCATGAACTGATCATGTTAGACACCTTGGGAATACAACAAAATTTTTATTCTCAATTGGATGGCAACATATCTCAAGCATGTTTGAATTATATTTTTCATGAAGCTATACAAGCTAATATTGTAGGTTTCAATAGCGCAAAGTGTGGTTGCACAATTGTGAAAATCTATGGTCTTCCATGTGTCTTATAGCAAAAAAGGTGAAACTTGGTAGCCTGTTAAGAATGAATGAAGTTTGCAGTCACTGAAAAAGGCTTAGGTTTGATGATGATGGTGTCATGAAAGACGGTAAATCAAATATCGCTATCTTGACCGAATGGAAAGTGATACAAGAGAGATTATTAAAGTCGATGACAATATGAAAATCCACATTAAAGAACCATTTAGGAAGATTGCTTATCCAGAAACCACTGACTTGAAACCACCATCTCAACCGGTAAAAACAAAAGGTGTTGCGAAGAAAGTCAAGCCTACATCGAGTGAGAGTTCAAATGTGTGGTCTTCTTCGTATTTTGAACATGTTGACAAAGGTTTTCCGGACACACCAACTCCAAAATCTCAAAAATGTGTTTTTAAAAGAGCTCGCATTAGCAAACCACCTCTTTCATTGCCTTCACTAAAAATTTCATTAATTAACGAGATGTCAGTTTTTATGCACAAATACATCGAACGGATCGTCAATGTTGAAGGTGACGATAATTGCGATTTTTAAGTTGTTTCGGCTTTACTCAATAAAGGAGAAGATAATCACACACTTGTCCTCCATCAACTTATCAATGAGTTAATGATACATAAATAATCATACAAACGACTTTATGGAAAGAAATAAATTTTTGATGCAATTTATGAGTCTCTTGTTCCTTGCATTAGTGGACCGACACCAGAGAAAAAATGAATTTGCTTACGGGAAATGGGTCATCTCATAACAAGTGTGTATGATAGAGTATGTATTGATCTTACAAGATATGACTTTTCAGAAGAAAATTTTTTTTCCACTGCGCACTGCCCTACCTCAAAATCCAAATGATCGTATTATGTGTATTAGGTGGCTTTCAAAATTACGACACTTTGTTCAAGTTTATTTGAAAACGAGATGCCTTATACCACTTACATAAGTGGAGTTGACGACTCATTCAACAACAAAAGTCAAGACTTGGCCGGACCAATTTGTGGAAAGGATGCAAGAGTTTGTTGTATTGAGCAACATTGAAAGAGAATTAAATGCACAAAAGTCAAATGGGATACCATATATACTTATAGATTTAGCCAACGACAAATCTTTCGATTCGTATTAGTTTTTTGTCATCAATTAAGGGTATGTAATTGTGTATTAATATTAATAAAGTGTAATATATATATATATATATATATATATATATATATATATATATATATATATATATATATATATATATATATATATATATATATATATATATATATATATATATATATATATATATATATATATATATATATATATATATATATATATATATATATATATATATATATATATATATATATATATATATATATATATATATATATATATATATATATATATATATATATATATATATATATATAATTTCAAATATTTTAATACATTTTGATGTTTAAAAAAAAATTGTTCGTTTGCCAAACAAAACACACTGGTTCTATTTTCTGCATGGTTCAGGAGAGGTTTCAGAGATGTATCTCCAGTATAAGATAATAGGGTGATATCGAAAATGTATCTCCGAAACTAATATTGGTACATGATAGAATTTTTTAGGTCCACATATGTCTACAACTTCTATAAATTTAGACTCTTTGTTTTTTATTTCATACAAACAGAAAATGTCGCAAATGTCACAAACAAGCATCATGTGGTATGTCACAAATGGCTTCTTCTCCAATGCGACACTCAGGTAAAAGTTTAAGATCAATAAGTACACCTCTTTTGCAGAACTGCAATATGAAGTGCATAATCTCCTACCATACAAAGATAATTGAAAAGTTGTGAAGCTCGACTACCGTTCGCCATCAATTAACAAAGAAGACGAGATTGAGTTCAACAACTATGAGCTCAAGACGGATGCACATGTAAGGGTTATATGGAATACATTTTTTCGTTTCAAAACAAAAGTTTCGATCGAGTTGGAAGTGACGCTGTCAAGATCGGTCGAAGATATTGTGAAAATGTTGAAGCGTTCATCTGAATATTGAAATGTAATGTTTGATTTTATGTTAACGTACATCACCTATGTAATGCTGATTTTATATTATGAATCATAATTTTATTTTTCTCAAAATACAACTTTCTGTTTTTCTGTTTTTGTTTCTGTTTCACAATGCTACGCAGATGCATCTACGGACAGATTCCGACTATGCATCTCTTGGCCAAAAAGAGGCACACTCCTAGAACGTCACTCAGAATTGATCTAAGTTGCGTGTGTTTGTAGTATATCCAAAGATGTATCTCTATAATCTGAAAGCATTTTAGTATTTTCACATGGTACCCTAGTAATATATAGAGTACCATAATAATATATAGAGTGCATTAAAAAATCTGGGATTAAAATTGTTAGCAAAAGCTCTAACAGAGTAGGCCAACTCTCTAACTAAAAATATATACAATCAAACAAATTACAATACGGATCATTAGTTAATATAACAAATTATATTGTTAGAAGCCTTGATACAAAACACTTCAATATATCACTGAACCAAAATTTGATAAAGAAACCAGAAAGACCATTATAGAACCAGTCATGCTTACAACATCAATACTTAAACATGGTAAGGTTGTGAACTTCAAAATCTGAAAGATTATCAATTCCAAAATTAGCAAGCACGTTTGATATACCTTGGTAAGTTCTCAAGAGCCTCTAGAAATGTCTATAAACTCAATTATAATAAGAAATTATGAAGCAAATATTAAATATTTGATTCAAGTAGCTTTTAGCGAGCACTGATAGTAGTTTCTGTTACTTCATTTATTGAAGACCCTCCTCCTGAAGTTGATGACTCTTGCCAGTCTTTGCTGCCATCGAATAAGAATGCTGGTTTTTGAGGTTGGCAAAGAGGTGTTTCATTGGATAGCATGAAAACAACTTCTAACATTGATGGTCTATTCATGGCTTTTTCTTGCACACACAAGAGTCCAATTTGAATGCATTTCAGAACTATATCAGGAGGATAAGATTGGTTTAGTGTTGGATCAACTGTATCCAAGGCTTTTCCTTCCGTCCACAGTGTCCACACCTACAAATGCATAATACAGTCTTGAAATAAATACATCATATATCATTAAAGAGTTGGCCAACTTTAGGGCTACCTTTTTTTATTTTTATAACTTACATGTCCAATTAAATTTATGGATGCTCTTTCTTTTTCATAATGTGTGTTTCTTTGTCCAGCAATAATTTCTAGTAGTAAGACCCCATAACTGAAGACATCAGATTTTGTTGAATATCGTCCTTCCATTGCATATTCTGGTGCCATATATCCACTGCAATTTTACAAAATAGTTAGACCGTCATGTTAAATATAAATCCATCTCTATAATACTAATGTTTATAAGGGTATGACACATACTATGTTCCAACCAATCTTTTTGTTCTTGCTTGGATTTCATCTTCTGCAAATATTCTAGCCATACCAAAATCTGATATTTTGGGATTCATTGCAGCATCAAGGAGAACGTTGCTAGCCTTAAGATCTCTATGAATTATTTTCAGCCTAGAATCTTGATGAAGATATAAAACACCTCGAGCAATCCCACAAATAATTTCAAAACGCTTACCCCAATCCAATGACGACCTTTGGTTTAGATCTGAGTTGAACAAGTGATATTTTCAGAGATTAAACATATTGGGATAATCTGTCACGAAATTTGGCTTGATGCCTTTCTCATTGCCTTTCATACTATATATAATAGTGTCGGTAATTACAACTCATAATAACTAATTATAGCTAATAATAACTAATTACAATTCATAATGACTAATTTCCTATTCTATGATTAATGTAAATTATTCACAATAACTGCAAAGATTATTTCCTAATTAACATCCCCCCTCAAATTGATGCGGCTGGTCAAGGAGCATCAATTTGCTAACAAGAAACTGATGTCTTGGGCGTGGAACAGCCTTGGTAAGAATATCTGCAACCTGCAACTGCATACTGACGTGAGGAAGTGATATTATTCGATCATCGTAGGCGTCACGTATTGAATGACAATCAACTTCGATATGTTTGGTGCGTTCATGAAAAACAGGATTTGCAACAATTTGGATGGCACTTGTATTGTCAGCATAAAGTGAAGTTGACTCTGTTTGGGGAAATCCAAGTTCAGCCAAAAGACCACGAAGCCAAAGTATTTCTGAACACGCAGCAGACATGGCACGATACTCTGATTCAGTAGAAGATTTAGAAACTCTTGCTTGCTTCTTACTTTTCCAAGAGATCAATGAAGAACCAAGAAACATACACCAACCAGTAACAGATCGACGAGTATCAGGACACCCTGCCCAATCAGCATCACTATAAGCGCTCAACTGAAGAGAAGTTCCAACGGAAAAGAATAATCCGCGGTGAGAGGTTCCTTTTAAGTAGCGAATTATACGACGAACTGCAGCCAAGTGAAGATGGCGAGGAGAATGCATGAATTGACTTACTTGTTGAACAGCAAAAGATATGTCAGGGCGAGTAATAGTCAAGTAGTTGAGGCTACCCACAAGTTGTCGATACAATAAGGGATCAGGCAACAGATCCCCATCATCACGATGATATTTAACATTAACCTCAAGAGGAGTATCTACTGGATTAGCCGATTCAAGACCGGCCATAGAAATCAAATTTGTAGCATACTTGTGTTGATGGAGAAAGATGCCCTTGGATGTAGAATGAACCTCAAGACCAAGAAAATAATGTAGATTACCCAGATCTTTCATATGAAATGAGGCCTGTAGTTGTTGCTTAAGTCGCTGAATAGAAGCATGATCCGAACCAGTAATAACCATATCATCAACATACAAAAGAAGCAGAACAATACCCGCAGATGTGCTATGAATAAATAAAGATGAATCATACTGACTCTGAGTAAAGGAGAATCCAAGTATAGTGGCGCGGAATTTCTCGTACCATGCTCGAGGTGCCTGTTTCAAACCATATAAGGAGCGTTTAAGCTTACACACGCCTTTAGATGAAGAGAATAAGCCTTGAGGTGGAGTCATATAAATATCTTCTGTCAGGTCACCATGAAGAAAAGCATTCTTCACATCCATTTGATGAAGAGTCCACCCATTAGAAGCAGCTATAGACATGATTGTGCGGACAGTTGTCATTTTGGCAATCGGTGCAAATGTCTCATCATAATCAATTCCATATTCCTGCTTGTTTCCTAACGCAACCAAACGAGCCTTGTAACGGTTGAGGGACCCATCAGAATTCAGTTTCACAGAATACACCCATTTGCAACCTATAGGTTTTACATTTGGAGGACAAGTGACGATATCCCATGTGAAATTCTCTTGAAGAGCTTGGAGCTCTTCAGTCATTGCTGTTATCCATCGCACATCTTTAACAGCCTGTGAGTAACAAGTAGGAATAGATATGCTAGAGAGTGTGGCAGTCAAAGAAGTATGTGAGGAATCATACCTGTCTGGTGAATATCTATCTGGTGCGCGGGATATTCGACCAGAACGTCGTGGTTCAACCGGTACAGGATCAGGTGGCAGTTCAGCATCGGGAAGGGGTGTGGGAACCTGTTGTCTGTGTTTTCTGACATATACATGACCTGGTTTATAACGTTCTATAGCTTGAGGCATAATAGAAAACTTAGGAAGAGTAACAATATCATTAATGGCAGGAGAACCACAGGGAAACATAAACTGATTATCAAAAAATGTCACATTTCTAGAAATGCGAAAACGATGGTTAGAGACATCATAACACACAAATCCCTTATGAGAGTTACTATATCCCATAAATGCACATTGAACGGATTGTGCTCCAAGCTTATGCCTTTCAAAAGGAGGTAAGTGAACAAAACACACACACCCAAAAGTATGTAAAGCACTATAATCAGGATGAATTTTAAATAGACGGAAGAAAGGAGAATCAAGATCAATAACTGTAGAAGGAATACGATTGATCAAGAAGACAGCCGTGGAAAGAGCCTCCACCCAAAATCGGGATGGTACAGAAGCTTGGAGAAGTAACGTGCGTGTTACATCAAGCAAATGACGATTCTTACGTTCTGCCGTGCCATTTTGTTGAGGGGTATTGGGACAAGACCGTTGAGACAAGATGCCTTTTTGTTGAAGGTATTCCTGAAACTCATGAGACATGTACTCACCACCAGAGTCAGATCGAAAAATTTTAACACTTGCTTGAAATTGAGTTTCAACATATGTCAAATATTTCTTAAACATAGAAAACACTTCGGATTTAGAACGGAGAAAATATATCCAAGTAAAACGACTATAATCATCAATAAATGTGACAAAATATTTATAGTGAGCATGAGAAACCACAGGAGACATTCCCCATACATCACTATGAATCATCTCAAAACAAGTGGAAGCACGATTAGCACCAGACGGAAAAGGAAGTGTCTTACTTTTAGCCAATTTGCAAACAGAACATGAAACAGAGGCATCAGGAATAACATTTTTATTTTCCAACAAGCCACTTTTACATAAATGAGACAAAACAGAAGAGTTTGGATGACCTAGTTTTCTATGCCAATCCTCATAAGAATTCAAAACATTATGACAAGCAAGAGACAAATGATTAGAAATAAACTGTATTGGAAACAATCTTTCCACTTTAGGCCCCTTCGCGATCACTTTCCCCGACACCTGCTCCTGCACAAGACAACCAGATCGAGAAAAATTAACATTACAATTATTGTCCACCAATTGACCAACAGACAATAAATTAGAAGCAAGTCCAGGTGAGACAAGCACATTCTGAAAATCCGAGTTTATGTCCCCAACGTTAGTGATAGACAAGGTATTACCATTAGCAATCTGAATTTTCTGATTACCATGATAAGAATGTAAATTGTGCAAGTTTTCAGATGAACCTGTCATGTGATTGGATGCACCAGAATCAATAAACCATGGACGAGAAACATGAGAAGACTTACCCTTAATACCCAAGGCTGAAAGGGCAGAAAGTACCATGTGTTGAATCATTTCAGGTTGTAGAGCATTGCCATCTGATGCACCAGTGGTGGAAGAGCCAATTGTATGGCCTGTAGTGGCATGAAATGCCTTCACCGAATGATGTGCTGGTCGTGGAGGACGCGTGGGACAGTCAGAAATGATATGACCTTGTTGTTTGCAATAATTACAAAACTTCTTACTGCAGCTACGAGCAATATGTCCAAACTGTTTGCAAGAAAAACATTGGACATGTTGCATATCACGACCTTTATTTCTACTTTGAGCAGCATATGCAATTGCCACAGGCTCAGAACTGACAGTATCATGAGACATGGTTCCTTGAGTAAGGAGACGTTGTTCCTCCCTGAGAAGTTCACCAACACATGTATCCAAAGAAGGAACAGGATTCCTATTTAGCAAAGCACCTCTGACAACCTCAAATTCTAGACGAAGCTTCATGAGGAATTGATCTCGCCTACTTGTGTTGTAGACCTCTTGAACAGCCGCAAGAGAGGTCTTGGGAACATTAGCATGTATAATAGCAGAGTGTTCTGCCCAAAGATTTAAAAAACCAGAATAGTATTCTTGAATAGACAAATCACCTTGTTTGTAGTTGGCGATGTCTAACTCCAACTGAAAACGTTTTACCGAATTGTCCTGGTTGTAAATGCGCTTCAGATAATTCCACATTTCTTGAGCAGTTGAAAAAGAACGCAAATTATTTATCATCTGAGGATCAATACTGTTTAGAATCCAAGTGATAATTTGAGCATCTTTAGTTTCCCACGCATCTAAAGCAGTTTTCTCCGTTGGTGCCTTAGAAACATCATCTAAGTGACTCCATAATCCCTTTCCTTTAACATACATCTTGAACTGAAATTCCCATGCCGAATAATTCTTGCCGGTAAAACGAACACAAAAATTATCTCTTTCTTTTTCGGAAGCCATCTAAATTATTAAACCACCAGATACAATCTCACTAATATTATTTTATTATTATTATAATAATAATTATAATAATAATAACTATAATATAATAACAGTAACTGTAATCACAGTTACTAGAGCAGCAACAAGAAACAATACCCACGAACCAACGAACAACAGCACGATCAAATCCACGATTTGGAAGGAGCGGCAAAACAGAAGATTATGACGATCCAGAATCACGAAGCAACAACAGCCAAGAACCAAAAAAAAAATTGATTGCAATATCAGCGCAACAACGAGAATCTCTAAGACGAAATCACGAACCGGCAACCAAAGATTTAGAATCTCAGACAGCTGCAAGGTTTCGATTTCAAACGAAAGAATTTCGAAACGAACACGATTACGAGAGCGAACCAGTGGGGTATCGCTGATCAGCCAATATAATAATATTTTCCAGGTTTGATCGAACCTACTGATACCATGTCACGAAATTTGGCTTGATGCCTTTCTCATTGCCTTTCATACTATATATAATAGTGTCGGTAATTACAACTCATAATAACTAATTATAGCTAATAATAACTAATTACAATTCATAATGACTAATTTTCTATTCTATGATTAATGTAAATTATTCACAATAACTGCAAAGATTATTTCCTAATTAACATTATCAACATAACATTGAGCTTAAATTCATAAGTGTTTATTAAAATATAGAAAGGAAGAGGATAATACAATTTTAGTTAAATATCGGGAAGCTGAAGATTAGATAATCTGCTGAACCAATCATCTTGTGCCTGACAGAGTTTTAGGAATATATGTAAAAGTTTCAATCTTGTCCCATGTTTTGGCATCTAAACATTATAATGAATTACTATTAACCCATTTAGTTTAGCAATAGCCCTGGGAGTCATGTGCCGATTTCTCTCCCCAATTCAGTCACAACTCACTATGCTTTATACTTGTCTAAATACAAGTTCATTCAGGCTAGAAAGAGAGACAATGGTAAATTAGAATGAGGAGCATACCGAATATAAAAAAGTCTAGGCTTTTGTTTGGTAGGTATTCATAAACTAGCATCCTTTCTTCTTTTTCATAGCAACAACCAAGCAATCTCACTAGATTCCTGTGTTGAAGTTTAACTAGAAGTGTAACTTCATTTTTAAACTCTTCTTTGCCTTGACCTGAATCTTTGGATAATCTTTTCACTGCTATCTCTTGTCCATTAACCAAGCAACCCTGAAATATTTATCAGTTATATCCCATTTCATTATTTTTGCATCATTTTTCGATTATGCGATTCAAATGAATATAAAGAGGTGAAGGATGTTTTCACTTCTTGCATCAGTAGCTTAATGTAGTGTTTTACTTACCTTATAGACTGAGCCAAATCCACCTTGTCCAAGCTTATTCTCATGACCACAATTTCTTGTAGCTGTCATTATTGTCTTAAAGTTGAAAAAGGGTAGATTTGGATCTGGAGCACCATTCTCTTCTCCAGAGGATTCTTGGCTTAAATGCCGCATCATTTTATCTGAAGTTACAAATAACATGAGATAAGATTTCAATCAACTTGCACATTTTGCAGAGTATGTTTCTCTTTGGTTCTCAAAGAAAAAAACTTAGATTACACATTTGACTATGGTTGCACATGTAATGCTCAATAATAAGAATAACATTCCTATTATTTAACCAAATATAGACATTAGTAGTAATTGCTATGGATATGTGGAGATATTGTTTGTTTAACATTGATAGACTAAAACTTAATCACAACTTGGTTAAATCGGCTATTAAAATACTTCAGTCTGGATTGGTGCGCAGAATATATCCAAATGACAAAATAATGGCAGTTTTCTCCATAAACGGGAGGTTTCCGGATACATGATTCCAGCAGTGTATTTTATAGTATTTGAGCATCTAGGAGACGATTGAGAAACTCTCGAAAACTTGGTTAGAAATGCTAATACTTTGACGAAATAATTTGGTATAAATCAGTCCCCTTTAGTGATAAACTCAGTTTGAATGGAGAAGATTGAATTGGTTATGATGTGTATGGGTTATAGAAATGGTATATTGGGAGAAAACCTCTTCTGCCATAATGAATCATAGGATATCTTGTCAGCAGAAACATGAGACTGGGAGGTGGAATTAAAGCTGACAATAGTATTGGGAGATTATGTGGTTATATACTTATCATTTGGGGCTGCTGGGGACCATTTTTTTGTGGTCATAAGTGACGATTTTCCTATTAATTTTATGGTATTTGGGACTAACAATTGATGATTTGAGCTGTTTTGGAGCTACTTTACTGCTGTTTTTTCTCTGGTTTTTAGTGGCATATAGGCTATTCTGATTTTGTTGAAGTGAAATTGTGGTGAATTGGTCTTGAGGTGATTCTCAAGGTGGTAACGGTACAATCATTGCAAGACAAAAACATGGATAATTTTGTTAATGGACAACAATGGTTGATGTTTGTAAAATATAGGTGAAGGTGGTTCGTGACAGCAAAAACTAACCCGGTACTCAATATATGGAAAAGGTAGATGTGGCTTATGTTATGGAAAACTTGGGTGAATTAGGGACACAACATACATTATTTAGGTATGAGTAGCAGGACATGTGATGACTTATGCTAGTAAGAAATTTTTCATATCAATAAAATTCATTTTGCCTTTACCTGAAGAAAACATTGATAAATCATATAACACACACAGTTCATGCCATACTTGAACATAAACAAAAATAATATGACACTTTTTTGTAACACAAATTGAAAATAATAGTAAAGTATAATGAACAAATGACATCATCGTTTAAAATAAATCACATACCCTTTCTTTTTTTCTTCCGCCTGCAATACACATAGGAGAGGAGGAGAACAATTGCAACAATAGAAGCTACCAGAATTGCAGCCAACCTCTTTTTATCAAGGGCTCCTTTGCGTTTTGTGTAGTAATTTGCTGATAGGAAGAAATGAGTCTAAATAAGTTCTAACTACACCTATGCGGTGTCAAATCTATGAAGAAAATTACAGAGGGAGGAAATACCTTACCTAGTTCAACTTTATCTACGCGTAAAAACAAATCTTGGCCTTCATCACTGAGTGTCTGAATGTCCATTAAATCCCCATACCATGCCAAACACCCACTTCCACCATTTCTCACATCAACGGCTGCATAGGCAGTACATGAGCAGTTTCTCAAGCATTCTTTCTCACATTCTTCCAAACTTAAACCACCTTTAGCAACTGCCACAGATGTATCAGGAACCTTCAAGCTTACAACTTTGACAAACCCTTCTCCATTCCCACAAACAGATACACCTTTCTTCCTCACACAGCCTCCTGACCCGTCTCTAGTGCCATACCAATCACTTGGAAATTTGGGCTCAAAGCCTGGCAAGCAAGAACACTTAAACTTGACATAGTTCAAAGGGTTGCAATTACTATTTGATCCACATGTTTTGTAGTTATCACATTGGTTTGTTGGTTCATACAAGTACCGGCTCCATTGACTCTTTTGACTGTTCCACGTGAATGATTGAAGGAAACCAGATTTCTCAAGCACTATCCTAGTAATAACAGACTCGTCAAGCATGTGATATGTGAGTGCTAAATAGTTGTTATCTTCAACCAAAGTAACGTTAAAAATGGCCATATCTCCTTTCAGATTTGGTACACCTGTTAATAGTTCTCCATTCCAAGGGCCACCGCGCCACCAAGGATTGTTCCCATTGTATATAAACAACTGAGGTTTACCATCGGTGCTGAATTTTAAAGTATATGCACCTTTTCCAGGGTCATCGTCTGTCTTCCATGATTGAAGGAACCAGCTTTGATTAGATTTTCTATCAAAACCAACCCTTTGATATGAAAGCATGGTGTCTGTTGGATGATCAAAGCTTTCCCAGATGGTGGTGTTGTCTAGCATCAGAACAAAGTTTGCTATATCTGATAGTTGAGCTATAACTTTGGTGCTATTTCTCTGTGATTGTGTTAATGAAACATTGGTAGACCAAATGGGAATGGTGCTGAGGTTGTGGTGGAGTACTAGATTTCCACTCGGATCGATTGATAGAATTCCAGAAGTATCATTGATGGGAGTATCTCTGTTTGCAACCCAAACAACAGTTGGGTTTGGCAAATTGTAGTACCAAATTCCAACATAGCGAGAGGTGGACTTTCCAGGAGTGAAGAATCCAAGAGCAAAAGTTTTAGATTTAGAAATGAGAGGTTGAGCATCATCTCTTAGGGGTTTGTGAATAGAAATGGTATCAGAAGAACAAGAGCAAAAAGAGAATATGAAAAGGAATATAATCAAACAGTTTAGCAGCAAATTACTATATGCATGATTTTGGGTTATGACAAGGTACAGAAGATTTTTTGCAGAGTCCATTGAGTTGCTCCCTAATTTTAGCATGAAGATATAATAGAATTGACACAAACTTTAGTCTTGAACAGCACATAATCACTTGAATTTGAAGACATAAATTTTGCACAGAATGGGTCAATTACCAATGACAGTCAATTGAGGTATTTTATGCAACTACGCCAACATTTCATAGCCAACAATTATTCATACGTCTTGGACCGTTATAATGACTTGTAAGAAGCACAATTGAATGACGTTCTTAAACATGTGTCAAGCTTAAATTAAACTAGATTTAGAACCGCGTAAATTAATTTTTATTTACTTTTTATTAAATTTTAATTAGGTTAAGAATTTTTTTTTGATAAATAAGATCAATAACTTATTTATTATGAATTATAATTGAGATTACAATATCAATTAATCAAAAATAAAAATATATTTTACTTGAAAAAAATATGTATTTATAAGTTGAGATTTACAAATAAAATATAATATTGAAAATTAGATAATTATAAAGATATCATCTGTTATTTATTTATTTTTTAATTTTAATTTTCATATCTTTTTGTACTTATCTATTTTTTAGATATTTAATTTAATTATATTCATTTTTAGTTCTGAATAAAATTTAAATTTTATTTATAATTATTATCAAATAAATTTTTTCAAATTTATGTCTATATTATTCAACGTTAGTTATATGATGAATAAAAGTTTTCAAATGCTAATAGCTACTTTAATAACTTAATTTTTTCAGAAAAATAATTATTTTAATATGTTATTAATGATATTGAAAATATTTTTATAATTTAAAAGTAAATGCAAAGAAAACAGAAATGTTGTTTTATAAATTTTATGAAAATAATCAAGTTAATATGTATTTGTTAGGTTAATATATTTTTATGTTATTTTTTAAAAAAGAATTGTCTTGTTAATTTTATTGTTAGGTTAATAATATTAGTTTATTGTTGATTTTGTGGTTAGGTTAATAATATTGTAAAAAAAATTATGTGATTTTGTTGTTGATATTAGTTGAAATATAATTTTTTTTATTTTAAGTTTAATTATTTCTGTCTTCTTTATTATACTCCTTGTGGTCATTATAAAAAAATTTAGGAAAACTATAAATTAATTTTGGCAAACTCTATCAAAAGTATTGTTATTCATCTTTAGTTTATGGGTTAATACCATTTTATTCACTGTTATAGTGGTGAATTTTAATTTATCCATATAATATTTCTTTATAAAATTAACTTTGTTATACGAAGAATCTGTTATCTTAGATTCTGTAAAAAAAAAATTTTTTGTGAAATTAACATTTCCATACGAAGATTATGTTGTTTTAAACTCTATAAAATTGTTAAAATTAACCCTACCATTTTCATACGGTAATGTTAGTTTCAAAAAAATAACTTTACATGATTAATTAAAAAAAAAAAATTTACAAAGTCTAAACCAACAAAATTTACATACGTCAAAGTTAGTTTCATAAAAAAAAACAATTTTATAAGATTTAAAACTAACATAATCTTTATACGACAAAGTTAATTTTTTTTAAAAAAATTATAAGAATAAACTAGAATTAGCCTACATAGTTGGAGGCAAAATGGTATTAATCTTTAATTTATTTGTTTGACATAAAATGAAGAATATATAATAGAAATAATCTAAAATTATTTTAGAGATTGAAAATATATATATTCAAAAACATTTCTTTTAATTCTGATAATTAAAATTAATTGCGAGAAAAATAGAAATAATATTTTATAAATTTTATAAAAATAATATTAATCAAACTAATTAGTAGTTGTTAAATTAATATAATATATAGGATAACGTTAACTTGTGTCCTTGGGGCACATGTTAAGAAAACCACTTATAGTAAATTTGCATTGGAAAAAACGATTTAAAAATTAATTTTATACTTTAATTAAAGTTTATACACAATTTCCAAGACAATATTTCTTAATTTAGTTCTTAACATGTGCCCCAAAGGCACAAATTAACATTACCCTAATATATATATATATATATATATATATATATATATATATATATATATATATATATATATATATATATATATATATATATATATATTTTGCATTTGTTAGGATTTTGAACATGTGATTTTTAACACTATGTGGTTATTCCTTTTGATAAATGAAGATGAATTTTAGAAGGTGTCACATAGAAATATGTCTGATGTGTCACAAATTAAGTTAATGTATCAGAAGTCATTTGATATATCAAATGATGACTAATATACTGCCTTAAAAGTGTATTGATGAAATCTATGGTTTGCAAAGAAGGTTCATTTAGGGTGATACAGATGACAAGAGGAGAATGAATGCTGTCAGTTGGGAAAATATAATCAAGCTAAAGTTAAGCGGAGGACTTGGTTTGAGGAAATTTGTTGTCATAAATAGAGCATGTATCATGAAATTAGGTTGGAAGATTATCAACAATTCAGATGATTGGTGGTGCATTGTGTGGAGATATGTGTGAGATAATAGAATATAGAAGATCTAATTCAAGGTTTTGGAAAGAGATTGTAAAGTCTATTCCTCAGATTATGTCGATAGGTTTCTGGAGTATTGGAGATGGAAGGAGTATTAAAGCCTAGAGCGATAATTGGGTGAAACTAGGGATGAATATTAATTATTACCAGATTCAAATTCCTAAGGAACTTGGAGAAGCGATGGCTAATGATCTAGTAGATGAGAATGGTGAGTGAAATTGGTGCTTGTTGTAGGATTGAATGCCTCAAGGTCTGCTGCATAAAATTCAATCGATATTACCTCCAAAAGATGAGTATGATATTGATGAATTTAAAGGAAATAGAACAGAAATGTAAGCTAGAATGCTTGATCGTTTATTCAAAAGACTGCTACAGCTTTTATAAAGCCTTACAATTTAAGTGTAACTGAAATAGAGAAAAATAAGGAAAACAGAATATAACAAACTGGAATAAATCAACTCCTAAAAACTAGCTTATTAAGACATATTCTCTAGCTTTAACGGTAAACCCAACAAATTCCTCCCCTTAAACTGACACATGCTTAACGAGCATCAGTTTACTCCTCAGGTCGTTGAACACCAAGCAAACCTCTAAGTTTCACAAACTGATCCAACTTAATAGGTTTAGTCATGATGTCTGCCACTTGATCATCAGTTCCACAAAATGCTAACTTCACAGCTCCTTCACTTGATAAATTGCGTAGATAATGATATCTAACATCAATGTGTTTTGTCCTTCGATGCATCACTGGATTCTTGGATAGTTTAATTGCCGAACTGTTATCACACATTATGTGAATGCAATTACAGTCTTTGAAGCTTAACTCTTTCAAAATTCCTTTCAGCCAGACGCAATGACATGCGCAGGCAGTGGCAGCTACATACTCAGCCTCTGTAGATGAGAGAGTCACTATCCCTTGTTTTCTTGAACTCCAACAGATTGCTGCTCCATTTAGTAGAAATACATAGCCCGAAGTACTTTTTCTATCGTCCACATCTCGTGCGTAGTCGCTGTCTGTGTATCCCAGCAGATTCGCATTTGTGCTTTTCTTGTAAAAAATTCCCAGTTCCAGTGTTCCTTTCAAGTACCTCAATACCCGCTTTGCAATCGACATGTGTTCTTCTTTAGGTTCAGCCATATAACGAGAGATTAAGCATACCACAAACATTAAATCCGGACGCGTTACCGTTAGATACATTAAGCACCCTACTAGTTGTTTGTACAATATTGCATCAGCACCGTTGCTGCCTTCCTTTGACAGAACAGTACCAGGAACAATTGGATTCTTGACAGCATTACAACTCCACATATGGAACCTTTGCAAGACTTCCTTAGCATACTTCTTTTGGCACAAGTGAATTCCATCTTTACGCTGATAGATTTCAACTCCAAGAAAAAACTTCATTTTGCCCAAGTCTGTCATCTCGAACTCCTTCTGCATTGACAACTTGAACTCTATGCACATATGCTCATCATTTCCGGTATATATTAAATCGTCAACGTAAAGACTTACCGCCAATAGCTTGTTTCCATTTTTCTTCAAGAACAAGGTGTGATCATAGTTGCTTTTCTGAAACCCTTCCTTCTTAAAGTGACTCTCGATTCTGCTGAACCAAGCTCTTGGGGCTTGCTTTAAGCCATAGAGCGCCTTCTTTAGCCGATACACCTTATCTTCCTCTCCCTTTTTGATAAACCCTTCCGGTTGATCGATGTATACCTCCTCCTTTAATTCTCCGTACAAAAAAGCACTTTTAACGTCAAGTTGGTAGACACACCAACCACGTTGAGCTGCTACTGCCAGGAGAATTCTGATGGTATCCCAACGAGCCACCGGTGCATACACTTCATTGTAGTCTACTCCTGCTGTTTGTGAATACCCTTTGGCAACTAGTCTAGCTTTGCATTTGTCCACCTTACCTTCTTCATTCAATTTTGTTTTGTATACCCATTTAACACCAATTTTTTTTGCTTGATGTGGCAGTGACACAAGCTCCCAAGTCTGGTTTCTCTCTATAGCTTGAATTTCAAGCTTCATGGCCTCCTGCCATTTTTCTTCCTTCGCAGCTTCATCAAAACTTACTGGATCATCATGAGAGATATACAAGGCTAAGTTTTGTTCTGGTACCTCTTCTTCAGATAAGCCTTCACCGCTTTCATAATTACTCATCCAACTAGGCTTCCTTCTCTCTCTTCTTGTTCGTTCTTCAGGTGCTGACTCTTCAGTTTCTGGAAACTCCGTTGCACTGTCGTATTCAATTTCTTCAACATCCTCATCAGTATCTTCTGCTTCAGGTTCTTCTGTCACAACTTCATCTTCTCCCCATGCAAGAACATTCTGTTTTACGTCTGTTGCGTTCAAGTTCCAATCCCATTTACCGCCTTCTTCGAATATGACATCCCTACTTATAATTATCCTTTTTGTTACCGGATCATACAGCCGGTAAGCTTTAGATTCCTCACTGACCCCAAGCAAGATGCATTTGTGACTTCGATCGTCAAGTTT